CTTTAAACTATGCTAAAGCTAATCTTGTTGGTCTTCATATTCTAGACTATGCTAAAGCTAATCCTGTTGGTCTTCATACTTTAAACTATGCTAAAGCTAATCTTGTTGGTCTTCATATTCTAGACTATGCTAAAGCTAATCCTGTTGGTCTTCATACTTTAAACTATGCTAAAGCTAATCTTGTTGGTCTTCATATTCTAGACTATGCTAAAGCTAATCCTGTTGGTCTTCATATTTTAAACTATGCTAAAGCTAATCCTGTTGGTCTTCATATTTTAGACTATGCTAAAGCTAATCCTATTGGTCTTCATATTTTAGACTATGCTAAAGCTAATCCTTAGATATTACGCTCTACTTAGAGAATAATATCATTTGTTAATAATATTTGAAAACTGTTTCGATAATGTTTATTAACAGAGGGAGATGATTTAAATTACTATGATCGAAAGATCGCTGAGGATACTCTTAGGTTTGTTCCCTGCAGGTGTATATTAGTCACATAAGTATGCCGAGGAACATAAATGTGTAAAAATATATGTTTTTTAGCTAACCTACGTAAGTGTTGTTTCAATACATTGCGATTGGTATATTCAGTAATATATTCTACTATTGAAAACTACAATACATCGACAAAAGCTTTCATTAAATTTGATTAATTAAGAGTTATTCTGCACATATTAGGAAACGCGTGAACAGGGAATAAAAAATAATAAATACACACGCGTAGAAAACATATTTTTGTTGTAGTAGATAAATCAGTAGCAGAAACACGACTCAAAGTTCAGTTAGTCAAACGATCTCATTTATCAAAGGAGTTAAGTTTTTATAAGGATTTTATAATCTACTCAAAAGATGTTACATTCATTAGAGCTTGTCCGGACATTAGTTTTCAGCTCTATCGCGGAAGTTCCCATTTCCTGCTGTAATTATCCTCTTTCTAGCTACTAAAGGATAATCACTAGACATATCAATCTAACAGCTGTGATATGCATTACTTCCATTACCATAAGCAAATTTCAAAAGCCTGCAATAAATGTTGTCCTTAGTACACTGCACATCTCCTCCACTTCTGTCAGCTCTGAATCATGGTTTATCATGTTCGAAATTCACACAATATACTTCGACTGACAATGATGATATGCAAGAAAGGTAGCTTTAAGAGCGTTGACTTTGTTGTTGAACGCTATATTAAACACATTCATGGGCACTCGTCTTTAATATAAAATGATGCTATTCAAACACCTACTGGTTCTGAATAATTTAGCTCTTGTTCTGAACCTCGAAGACTTCATCAAACAAGACAATGATAAAAAAGTGCCAACAAGCCTGATGGAATACATTAACACTCTTGAAAATAGATAGATAAATAATGCTCGGTCTAGGATTTTCCTTACACGATCCTCTCGATGGACTTTTAAGCTCTGTGAATAACGATTTCTAACGGCTTTTACAACTCATAAAATTCATGTTTTCTACCCCTGTACAATCTCTTACACGCATGACTAGGATTCTTTGCAGTGGAAAGAGACTGTAAGATTGAAAGTAATGGAAAATGGAGAGTGTCTTTCGTGGAAAAACTTCGCTTATTTCTATGTTAAAATTTTCATTTCTAACACGTTTGAACAGAAAGCATCATTAAATATACTTCATAAAATTCGTACCTGCTTTCCTTAAAAAAAGTATGTCCTGAGTACGCTTTAGAACACTACAAACACATCGCTTAATTCGGTGTTAAAATGTTACATTCCAACATAACTTGAACAGAGAACACAATGAAATATACTCTAGAAAACAGCTATCTTTTTTCTTCTTGAACAAGTATCTTCTCAGTAGGCATTTAAGTATTAATATTGGGTAATCATTAAATCAATAGTTTCCAAGGAAAATAAAAAATGCCCCTAAAATCATTATGTTTTGTTGTTTTTATTTTTGCAGACAGATAATTTTTGCCTATTAATGGCACAACGGACTTACAACGTTCGAAACCGGGATTCGATACCTGTGGTGGCCAGAGCACAGATAGACAAACAAATCAAAAAACCATATTTTTTTTTCAACTATCACAACATCCTGCATTGCTAATGAACAATGAAATTAAATCTTCAAAAGATTTTTCCTTTTAATGTATGTATGTCTAGGATTAAATTATCTTAGATCTAAATGCTATAATTTGATAAAGGAGTTTCGGTAAATATCAAAATCACATTTATTATAAGTACAAAGTGATTGTGTATGGAAGAAATAAACTTATACTTACGAGAATCTGTAGCTGTCAGAAGGATCAAAAGGCTTAGAATGTACGAGTATGGTGTCGTGGAGCTCATTTTCGAAGCTTAAGAAACGACAGAAGAAAACAAAATCTAGTTATTTGTTATTAGTAAGCATACTCACTGTGATCCTTCATCGGATCTTACCCCGGCTGGCGAGTTAGCCCCCACGTTCATATCTGTTTGTGTCTGTTAATGCCACGAATTCCAGAAGAATATATTTCCGTCAAACACACACATACACACGTGCACGCTCGTAGAGACAACACGCGCTCGATTGTCGTCGATCAATGAAAACTAGCTGTTTTCTCTGTAGTCAAACTACAGCGCCATCTATTGTATGTCAAAAATGAGGGGAGCAGGTGAGGCTTGTTGCAAAGATTCTCATGCCAGTTATAAAGAGTCTGTACGACCTTTTCCTCTGATTCTTGCATTCCACTACAGCTTGTATGACAACTCTTTAAAAAAGAAGTCTTATGTGCAATTACTCACCACATACAATGTATGAACGAACATTTAAACTTTAGCCACTAACTTGATTCTGGGCTTAAGGTTCATTTATAAACATGTTATTTTTAAAATCAGGAGAGTTATAGGAAAAAATCTTCTTACTTATAATGATAAAGCACTATAAATGTGAAATATTGTAACGCTTTTTCTCTATTCGTCTTAAGTAGTTAAAAACCCTTCCTTGTAGCTCCACAAAAAACTTTTTCTTGTATCTTCACAAAAACTCTTCCTTGTAACTCCACAAAAACTATTTATTGTATCTCCACTCAAATCTCTTTCTTGTAACTCCACAAAAACTCTTCCTTGTAACTCCACACAAACTCATCCTTGTAACTCCACAAAAACCTCTTTCTTGTAACTCCACAAAAACTCTTCCTTCTAACTCCACATAAACTCACCCTTGTAACTCCACAAAAACCTCTTTCTTGCAACTCCACAAAAACTCTTCCTCGTAACCTCACAAAACTCTTCCTTGTAACTCCACAAAAATCTCTTCCTTGTAACCTCACAAAAAATATAGTTTTTGAAATAAAATTACAAACTACAATAGTTCTCCCCATCTTCTTGAAAATAAATAAATAGTTAGTATTATTTATCACAAGCTATTTAAATAAATATATAATTAGTCTTATTTGTCGCAAGCTATTTAAATAAATAAATAATTAGTCTTATGTGTCACAAGCCTTTTAAAAAAATAAATAATTAGTCTTATTTGTCCCAAGCTTTTTGTATAAATAAAAAATTGATATCACATACAAGAAACGTAACACAATTATTCAAAACCAGAACCTTATACATTCTATAAGTACGTCAAAACAGCCACGTGTAATGACTATTATACCAGAATGTTAGTTTGTAGAATTTCTCACTTAATTTATGTTATAACTCTTCTGAGGCCTCGTTATAAGTTTATGGCACACATTACAATGGAAATGTTATAAATGTATATGATACCAAAAGCACCTGCGTCCTGTTCAAGTCCTATAAATTTATAACTATACATCAGAATTCTATTGGTCGTTCTCTGAAATGAAATACGACGTAATATAGTTATAATATTAATCATTACGTGTATAATTAAAATATTAAGCAATGCGTATACAATTAACCTCAAATAACCGCAACTTAATCGAGAAAATAAAAATCAACAACTTTCAGATAAACGCTTTGAATCAAAAGTAAGGACACAATTTTGTCGTTTTAAACCAAATTAGGTGTTTTACAGAGTTTAAGACCGATTAGTTTCATACACGTATAGGTGTATTTACAAGCTGATATAATATGATCAATAAACATTCGTTATGATAATCGGGATATCTGTTTTGTACGTTATACGTTAATTTTTGTAAAGGTTTCTAGTTTTAATAATCATTACCAATTTATAATTTGATAAGATATGTTATTCCGGATAATACGCTTTTATCTTTATTATAAATTTACAGCCCCCCCCCCCCCAGTGGCACAGCGGTATGTCTGTTTTGTACGTTATACGTTAATTTTTGTAAAGATTTCTAGTTTTAATAATCATTACCAATTTATAATGACTATAATTTGATAAGATATATTATTCCAGATAATACACTTTTATCTTTATCATAAATTTACTGCCTCCCCCCCCCAGTGGCACAGCGGTATGTCTGCTTCGTACGTTATACGTTAATTTTTGTAAAGGTTTCTAGTTTTAATAATCATTACCAATTTATAATGACTATAAATTGATAAGATATGTTATTCCAGATAATACACAGCCCTCCAGTGGCACAGCGGTATGTCTGCGGGACTTACAACGCTAGAAACCGGGTATCGATACCCGTGGTGGGCAAAGCACGGATAGCCCTTGTGTAGCTTTGTGCTGAATTAAAATCAAACAAACAATGAATTTACATATTCATATCAAAGTACTAACCACATCTTATTTAAGTCTATAATATTGAAAATTTTGTTTAATCCTAATCGTATAAAAATGTTAAAAAGAACTTCGGTGTCTATTATCTTCCATAAATTATTATATGTTTCATTCTAGATTTTATTTCTCTTTATGTTTACAAAAGCTTCGATTAGAACCTTCGAAAACATGTCATATATCATATAAAATACTTTTCACGTACACCCATTCATACATAGATGGATCTGTCTATCTAAGAAAGATATAAATAAATAACCTGGAATTAAAAAAATACACTAACAAACCGTAGTCCAAGATGTTAACTAATGATAAGTTTAGAGCACTAATATGGTGTATTCGTATCAGTTTCAAAAGCAAAAGATTAGTAATACTTGTTAATAAAAGATCTTAATCAACACAGGTTTTAATCCTGTATTTCTAAATAATACAGACGGACGAAGTCTCTTTATAAGTTTTATTTTTCTTATCCATTTAATAGTTTACTTTTAATATGTCATAGAGCATTTATTGAGCTCGTATGAGATACCAGACTGCAACAAAATCTAAAGAAACTGTCGTTGGTTGACTATTCCAGAATAGTCCAGTAGTAAAAACCTAAAACAGTTCTGTTCCTTCTGTTCTACTTTGTTAAATGAGTCCCAGTGTACTCTCGGACTACAACATCAGTAGTGCTTTCAGCGTAACGATCATTAGGATCTTGCAACTACGGCACAATATATCTTAGGTTCTCGTGCCAAGAATATCAATGTGTCCAATCTCTATACAATGGTTTTAATGGACTTTGACTTCAGTGTACACCAATGTGATGTAAAGATTTTCCCAAGAGTTGTGTTTAGTCTTTAGTCGTTCTACTATATCATTTGCTTTAATCTACATAGAAATTCCCTAGTTCCCTTTGGAAGGATGTTCACTAGACATGAGTAGTCGTTACGATAGACAACCCAAGTAGCACCCCCCCCCCCCGGTAAAATAATTCACACACAATTAAAAACAAATCAGGCAAAATATACTAATACAACTAAGTACCTAAGTAACTAAGTTATAAAATGTGTCAGTCCTTCACCTGCAACATATAAATTTAGTATATATATATATATATAATTTTTGTGACTTTCAACCATAATATGAAACTCCCCAAAAATTGCCTTTGACCATCCAAGTGAGCGTCTCCAATTTTACAGTACTATTTGTTTTACTGAACACTGTTAAATATTTATATTTTGCTTAAAGAACGTAACAACGGGAATAAGATGGGAACTGATTGAAATGTTAGATACCGTCTAATCTGTTATATTACGCCAAATTTCTTTTCCCAAAGAAAACAATTTTCAAAGAATGAATTATTAGCTATAAGGAAGCGATATATGGGAATTTATAAACTTAAACAAGAGCAATCATTAGAAATCCTCGCCCCTCTGCTCCTTTTCGAGAATGAATGCGTTTATATTGGATAACGTCAATTTTCAACTTCGGAAGCTCAGAAAATCCTTCACAGATCCAGAATGATGAACGATCCAGATAATTGTGTGTAGTGTGATGAGGAGTCTCAACCTTAATGTGTCCATGTGTACAAATCCGATCACACATTACAGAGTTATTAACCCAAAACCGTGAGAATGCCCTATCTCCCCATCATAAAAATACTTTAAAGAGATCCGGAATCCGGATCCGGATTTGGACCCGAACCAAATTTTGATAGGACAATCCCATACTGACTTCCCATCTTGTAAAAACGTTTCGTATGCATCAGTTTATTTGTTTTTTGAGATAAGTGTGTGGAAACACAGACAGACAGACACATGGACCGGATTGCTTTTTGTTGTTTTTTTTTGTTTTTGAATTTCGCGCAAAGCTACACGAGGGCTATCTGCGCTAGCCGTCCCTTATTTAGCAGTGTAAGACTAGAGGGAAGGCAGCTAGTCATCACCACCCACCGCCATCTCGTGGGCTACTCTTTTACCAACGAATAGTGGGATTGACCGTCACTTTATAACGCCCTCAAGGCTGAAAGGGCAAGCATGTTTGGTGGGACGGGGATTCGAACTCGTGATCCGGAGGTTGCGAGTCGAGTACCCTAACCACCTGGCCATGCCGGGCCAGGACCAGATTGCAATACCCTCGCCCCTTCCCCCCCCCCCTCCGGTGGCTAGGATAATAAGAACTTTGTAATCATAGCTTGTTTGTTTGTTTGTAATTAAGCACAAAGCTACACAATGGGCTAACTGTGCTCTGCCCACCACGGGTATCTAAACCCGGATTCTAGCAGTATAACTCCGCAGACATACCGCTGTGCCACTGGGGACTATAATCATAGAAATGTATATTTTTAATATACTTTGCTCTATCTGTGTTCAGATGATTTTTGTGGCTATTGAAACGAAATATATATATATCATTTTAGTCATAGCGAAATATGTACTATAATAATGTATTTGTGCTAATTTTTAAGTATATTTGAACATATATATAAAACTATATAAAATTGTTGAAAAAAATATAATTGTCTTAAAGAAGAAACGTTAAAAATTGGTCATTGGTTTGAAAAATCATTGTTATTCCACGAGTAACCAATTAAATCATATTGGTCTCTGGGTAAAATTATTATTAATCAATTAAGTCATATTGGTCTCTGGGTGAAATTATTATTCATCAATTAAGTCATATTTGTCTCTGGGTAAAATTATTATTTTTTATTTTGTTTATTACTAAGTACAAAGTTACGCAATGGGCTATTTGTGTTGTGCCCGCTACGAGTATAGAAACCCGAATTTTAGAGTTATAATTTCTTAAACCTCGGACTAATAACGCTAAAATCCAGGCTTCGATACTCGTGCTAGGCCATTGTATA